GAGAGGAGGAGGAGGAGGAAATGATGTTTGTGCAGATGTCGGAACTACCTGTAGGGGAGATGAATAATCTCGTTTGAGACTTGTAATCTTATGTAAATATCTTATTTGCCTTTGACTCTCCCGCTATCATCGCTTCTCTCTCCCTTCCTTCCTGCCGTTCTCACTGCTGCTGCTGCCGCTGCTGCTGCCGCCGCCGCCGCTGCTGCTGCTGCTGCTGCTGCTGCTGCTGCGGCTGCTGCTGCGGCTGCTGCTGCTGCTCCTTCATGAGTGCAGCGGATGCTTTTCGGTATGTTTCCACATCACAGTCTGTACCTCCTGTTTGCTGTTGCTTCTGCCGTTGAAGTCTGCCTTGTTGTTCATGCTGCCGATGTTGTCACTGTTGTTGTTGTTGCTGCTGCTGCTGCTGCTGCTGTGATTGTTGTTATTGTTATTGTTGGTGTTGTTGATGAAAGAAGCTCCCGACGTGAAAGTTCTGAAATTCTCCATCAAGATCCCAAGCTTCTCATCGACCTCCATCACCGTCTTCTTCATTGAAAACACCTCGCTCTCCATCCTTCTTATCCTCCTCGATAGATTTCCCACCTTTTCTCCTCCTCCTCCTCCTCTTCCTCTCCCCCAATCCTCTCCCCCCTCCACCTCCTCCTCCTTCTCCTCCGCCTCCTCCACAACAATCTCAGAGACTCTAACTCTCTTGTCATCTCTTTTCAAACTGTTCGCGCCAGACCTGACCGCGATCTCTCTGTTGGCAGCAACCAGCAGGTCCACGAACTTCTGCTTCTCCCTCACGCTCGCAAACTCAAACTTCCTCCTCTCCCCGTCGCTGATCATCATCTCCAGCCGCGTCTGCGCCTCCACCGTCTCGTCGAGCAGGAGCAGCGACTCAACCTCCGTCGCCTCTTCGCTCCAGAGCATCTGCCCGATTGCCGACAGGCACCTCACCCTCACCGCCCTCCCTTCCCCCACCAGCTCCCCTCCCAGCTCCTCCTCGAACATGAGCTTGCAGTCTACTGCCTCCCCCTTCTTCGTCCACTCCGTTACCTTGAACATGCTCCCGTGCCGCACGCTCCCTGTGCTCGTCAGCTCTGCAGCGACGCTGGTCCAATCCATCGTCCCCTCCCTGTTCGCGTTCAGGAGCTGCTGGACCAGCGCAGCCCAGCGCTCGAAGATGATGATGGCTTCCCCCATGGACCTGCGAGGGATGTGAGGAGAGGATGGAGGGAGGAGGGAGGAGGGAGGAGGGAGGAGGGAGGAGGGAGGAGGGAGGAGGGAGGAGGGAGGAGGGAGGAGGGAGGAGGGAGGAGGGAGGATGGACGAGGGAAAAAAAAGCAATAAGGAACGAGGGAGGAAGGGGTATGTTATA